TCGCGTATATATACATGATTTTGCATCTCCGGGTAGGGGGCGCACACGTGCACTGCCTGCATTGCCATTTGCAGTCGTGGCTGTCAATCACCTGGAGTCCCAGCTGGTGATTACTCACCGGCGCCCGGTGATTGCGGAGGATCTCCGAGGGGGGAGGGTGGGGGAAGAACTGTTAGTAAACAAAACAAAATAGTTCTCCTCCCTGTCAGCTCCTGCGCACTGTCCACAGCACAGCCATGCAAAGCAGTGTGCTTACAAGCACAAACACAAAACATAAAGTAAAAAGGAACAAAGCACACAGTTAACCCTTTGATCACCCCACATGTTAACCCCTTCATGCCCAGTGCCATTAATACACTGTCAATGCTTTTTATTAGCACTGATCACTGTATTGGTGTCACTGGGGCTGTCAGTGACACCAAGTCAGTTCTCCCCTGCAGTCCCACAGTCCCGTTATAAGTCGCTGATCGCCACCATTACTACTAAAAATTAAAAAAAAAATCCCAGTATCTATACCTCCATTTGTAAACGCTATAACTTTCACGTAAACCAATTAATTTACACATATTTTTTTTTAGCAAAGACATGTAGCAGAATACACTTTGGCATAAATTTATGACGAAATGTGATTTTTTAAATTTTTTTACTGGACATGTTTAATAGCAAAAAGTCAAAAATATTGTTTTTTTTTTCTCAAAATTGTCTGTCTTTTTTTTTTATAGCGCAAAAAATAGAAAATGCACAGGCAATCACTACCAATACCACTGAAAGAAAGCTCCATTTGTGGGAACAATTCATTTGAGTACAGTGTTGCATGATCATGCAATTGTCAGTTAAATCTCCAACACTTTCCTGATGTTTAGAAGCCAGGGTGAGAGTACCACAGGGAGCATAGAAAGTGAGTGGTCCTGTGGCTTCTAGCAGGGCCCAAACATTGCAGGCAGTGATCAAGGAAGGCCAGCAAGACAAAGTGACTGTTGGAGTGCACCAAGCCTTTTGGCTGTACATACTCATTCTTCCTCTGTATCAGATCAGTTCTCCACGGCAGAAGGAAATGGCGGAGTGCTTCCAATGATCTATACTAGTGAGTCGTGTGGAGTAATTATTCCCATATAACAGCAACCTTCTAACACCTTAAAGCGGAGTTCCACTCACCCTGTCATAAAAATAAAAGTCAGCAGCTACAAAAACTGTAGCTGCTGACTTTTAAAAAACAGCCACTTACCTGTCCCACGATCCCACGGTGTGTCCCCCCACAGCCCATATCACTGGCCGTCCTGTATTCCAGGAAGCCGGCATCTTCAGTGTGGGCACCCGGCTGTGACAGCTTGCAGCTTCACAGCGGGTACCCACTGCACATGTGCGAGTAGCGCTGCACTTCATGAATGGTCCTGTGGTCTTCTGGGACCTGTGACATGTCCCAAAAGACAACAGGGAGGGAGGGATACCTTCCATTTCCGATCACCTAGGCGATCGGACCAGAAGTGGGAACAGGTTCCTGTCAAATACAGGTACCCGCTCCCCAAAGGTGCCAATCCTTAATGGGGAGCAGGGGAGCAGTCCTTAAAGCGGAACTTCCCCTTTTGGGTGGAGCTCCGCTTTAAGTTTAAGGCACAGAAATACAATAACTCCTTTTTCCACAGCAGCTGTTTGCTAAATACAAAACACTGCAGTTTTTAGTGGCATGTCTGTGGTACTCAGGTACAACCTTGAACCAAATTTTTTCAATATAATTTGGTTTGCTGTTGTGCTACAAGACTTGGATTATGCTCACTGATTGGCTGTTTCATTGTTAGAACCTTTTTCTGTGTATTCAGTGTGTGTTGTAATTCTGCATGTGTATGTTTATCTACTTTACCTGGTATCATGATAGGTATACTAGGTACAAAGTAAATGCATGAAGACTGTTAAAATTCTGTATACAGCCCTACAGAACAGACAGTACACAGCCCACATGTGCTTTTCTGCTTCACTGCAACTAGGAAATAGGAAAGTTTATTCAGAGAAAAGACAGAGTATACCATAGATCAGTAGATTCCAAACTGTGGCCCTTTGCCTGGCTCTATCCAGTCCTAGGGGTACTCTCTCTCCCACTGATACCATCAAGGAGGTACAATTTCTTCCACTGGTATCAACTATGGCGCACAATTCCTCCCACTGATATAAACAATTAGATACTATTCCTCAAACTAATACCAAGGATGGGGCACTATTCATCCAACTAATACCAAGGATAAGGCAGTATTCCTCCAACAAATACCAAGGATGGGGCACTATTCCTCCAACTAATACCAAGGATGGGGCACTATTCCTCCAACTAATACCAAGGATGGGGCACTATTCCTCCAACAAATACCAAGGATGGGGCACTATTCCTCCAACTAATACCAAAGAAGGGGCACTATTCCTCCAACTAATACCAAGGATGGGGCACTATTCATCCAACTAATACCAGGGATGGGGCACTATTCCTCCAACAAATACCAAGGATGGGGCACTATTCCTCCAACTAATACCAAGGATGGGGCACTATTCCTCCAACTAATACCAAGGATGGGGCGCTATTCCTCCAACTAATACTAAGGATAGGGCACTATTACTCCAACTAATACCAAGGATGGGGCACTATTCCTCCAACTAATACTAAGGATGGGGCACTATTCCTCCAACTAATACCAAGGATGGGGCACTATTCCTCCAACTAATACCAAGGATGGGGCACTATTCCTCCAACTAATACCAGGGATGGGGCACTATTCCTCCAACTAATACCAGGGATGGGGCACTATTCCTTCAACAAATACCAAGGATGGGGCACTATTCCTCAAACTAATACCAAGGATGGGGCACTATTCCTCCAACTAATACCAAGGATGGGGCACTATTCCTCAAACTAATACCAAGGATGGGGAACTATTCCTCCAACTAATACTAAGGATGGGGAACAATTCCTCCAACTAATACCAAGGATGGGGAACTATTCCTCCAACTAATACTAAGGATGGGGCACTATTCCTCCAACTAATACCAAGGATGGGGCACTATTCCTCCAACAAATACCAAGGATGGGGTACTATTCCTCCTACTAATACCAGGGATGGGGCACTATTCCTCCAACAAATACCAAGGATGGGGCACTATTCCTCCAACTAATACCAAGGATGGGGCACTATTCCTCCAACTAATACCAGGGATGGGGCACTATTCCTCCAACTAATACCAGGGATGGGGCACTATTCCTCCAACTAATACCAGGGATGGGGCACTATTCCTCCAACAAATACCAAGGATGGGGCACTATTCCTCCAACTAATACTAAGGATGGGGCACTATTCCTCCAACTAATACCAAGGATGGGGCACTATTCCTCCAACTAATACCACCTCAAACTAATACCAGGGATGGGGCACTATTCCTCCTCCAACAAATACCAAGGATGGGGCACTATTCCTCCAACTAATACCAAGGATGGGGCACTATTCCTCCAACTAATACCAAGGATGGGGCACTATTCCTCCAACTAATACCAAGGATGGGGCACTATTCTCTGATACCAATGATGGGGCACTATTCATTTCACTGACACCAATGATGGGGCACTATTCCTCCAACTGACACAAATGACGGGGCACTATTCATCCAACTGAAACAAATGATGGGGCACTCTTCCTCCCACTGACACCAATGCTGGGGCACTATTTCTTCCACTGACACCAATGATAGGGCACTATTCCCCCCACTGACACCAATGATGGGGCACTATTCCTCCACTGACACCTATGATGAGGCACTATTCCTCTCACTGACACCAATGATGGGGCACTATTCCTCCCACTGACACAATGATGGGGCACTATTCCTCCCCCTGACACCAATGATGGGGCACTATTCCTCCCACTGACACCAATGCTGAGGCATTATTCCTCCCACTGACACCAATGATGGGGCACTATTAAACCCCCTGACACAATGATGGGGTACTTTTCCTTCCCCTGACACCAATGATGGGGCGCCATTCCTCCCACTGTCACCAATGATGGGGCACCATTCCTCCCACTGTCACCAATGATGGGGCACCATTCCTTCCACTGTCACCAATGATGAGGCACCATTCCTCCCACTGTCACCAATGATGGGGCACTATTCCTCCCCTTACACCAATAATGGGGCACTATTCCTCCCACTGACACAATGATGGGGCACTCTTCCTCCCCCTGACACCGATGATGGGGCATCATTTCTCCCACTGTCACCAATGATGGGGCACCATTCCTCCCACTGTCACCAATGATGGGGCACCATTTCTTCCACTGTCACCAATGATGGGGCAATATTCCTCCCACTAATACCAACGATAGGGTACAATTGACTTCCTATAGCACTTTTCCTCCAACTAATACCAATGACTGGACACTATTCCTCCTATTCCCCCCTTCCACTGACTACAAGTACTGTGTCATTTTTTTTAGTCCTACTCATGCTGGGATATTTTCTACTACCAGTGGCCACTCCGGCCCTCCTAAAGTCTGAAGGACAGTAAACTGGCCCTTTGTTTAGAAAGTTTGGAGACCTCTGCCATAGATGCAACTACAAACTCATAAACACTGCCCTCTACTGGATGAAAAATATATCTACTGAATACTGATGTAGTTGGTGCACAAATTACATGAACACTGTATCCCAACAAAGACATTGAGGTTGATTTAATAAAACTGGAGTGTGCAAAATCTGGCATAGCTGTGCATGGTAGCCAATCAGCTTCTAGCTTCAGCTTTTTCAATTAAGCTTTACTAGAAGATGATTGGTTTCTATGCAGAACTGCACCAGATTTTGCATTCTGCAGTTTTAGTAAATCAATGCCATTGCTTGGCTTGATTTGTATGTGTTGCTTGATTCCCTTTTAATGAAACGTACAAAGAAAAGAAATATTGTCATTGCTTACTTAAGAAGATATTAATGTATTACAGTACTAATGACTTGTCACAATCACTTTATTCTAGTGTGTGTTAAAAATAACCAGCAATATCCAAGTGGAGCAACATACCAAGACAACTGTAATCGATGGTAAGCCTACTAAACAGCGCTTTTGCTTGTAAATTATTGGATATTATTGTAGTTTTTTTTTTTCTCTGTGGTTTTTTGGCTGCTTCATGGCCTCTCACAAATACCACCCTATTAATTCTAATGGTCTTTGTCATAATATTATGTTCTCTCCTAATCTCCTACTGAGGATCATGAAGGCATTTGACTCTTGTATCTGGATAACTCAGAAAACTAGATATTATACTTGTGTCTACCCAGAGACTTCATCACACTGGAGCTGGTCATGGATACTTTTATCATTTGCCTAACTCTTGACTTCTTCTCTCAGAGTAACTCTTCTGATTTTATTGTAAAAATCCCTATAGCACCTAAAAAGGTGTATAGTTGTAAAAGGTATAAAATTCCAAAAGTGCTTTATAAATGGAGGAGGTGGTTCTTTCATTCATCCACCTGTCCTGCCATAATTTCCACACATAAACATACATAAACATACTCAGATGCGCGTCATTTCATTTTAGTGGCTTGAACAAATGAGTATTCTAGCCACTAGAATTAAATTTCGTGCATTCGCCTCTAAACACCATATGCAGCACATAAATACACACCAGACCGATCATATGTTTATGCTGGAACTTTATGTCAGCTCCTGGTAGAAAGATCCAATGTAGATGGGGATATTTTTCATGCAGCCTTGATGTCAGTTTACTAGGGTTCACATCTTTAAACAGGTATTTTATTTTTTTAAAAATGTTTTTATACTATCAGGTGTAGTTTAACCTTTAAAGTGGTTGTAAATCCTCCCATATACCCAGTGAAGTGACTGGTCTCAGAGATGAAACAAATCCTCCTACATAAGTTGTACCTGTTTGTCTACAGCCGTCTTTCCTACATCCATTAAAAATGCAAAATTTACACAGGATCTCTCAGCTCTGAAAAACAGGGGGTGGGGAGCTGAAGTTACATCAGTGAGGAGAACTCTGAGAGCTGATTGGAGGGAAGGGACAACCCCCCCCCCCCACCCACCCACCTTCATACAGCACACAGAAACAGAGCTGAGGCTGTCAATCACAGGCTGTGCTCTCCCCGTCACCATTTTTCTCTTAATGTCAGAAAAACTTGTCAGAATTGACTCATGCTGATAGCATAAGGAATGAGACAGCAGACAGAAATGACAGTGCTCTGGATTGAGACAAGTACACACTATGGATATAGAAGGATATGCTTTGTTAATGTGTCTTAGGTTTACAACCAGTTTTAAATGCCCACGGGAAGGAAGGATTAATGATGATGTGACCACTGTGATTGACTGTCATGGTAGTCACATGACTGGAAGCCGGTCCCACTCTTGTTTAATGGAGACCGAGAGCTGTCTTTGACAGCTCAATCTCTGTGCTGGGAGTACAGAATGAGAGTGCTCTCAACACAAAAACATCAGCTGCCCAGTGACACATATGGCTGGCATGTGTGTGTTAAAGCACATGCTGTTCGTGTAACGTGGGTGGTAACAGATTAACAAACTTGAAGGCCGTCCTATAGCAGTTTTACTGCTACAGGGCGGCCCTCCTGTGCAAAACCACGTGTATATATACGCGATTTTGCACTTCTGCCTCATGGGGCGGATCATTTCTGCTGTGAACTGTCACAGCCAATCTCCGAGTCCTGGCTAACAGATGTTCGCTGGCACCCACAGATCATCAGGCAGGGAGGAACAACGGAGCTCTGCCTATGTTTTGATTGATCCTGTGTCAGAGCAGAACTGGGAACACGATCCTTTAATTTCCCTTGTACCAGTACCACCTACTGTACACCAAGTACATAGCTAGGCACAAACGTAACCCTTTTATCACCCTAAATGTTAACCCCTTCCCAACTCCTGTCATTAGAACACTGATCAGTGTAAATTTTTAGCATCAGTGTCTGTCAGTGTAAAAAATGTCCGCCGCAATATCGCAGTCCCTATATAAGTCGCTGATCGCCCTCATTAGTTGTATATTCTAGTATATGTCCCATAGTTTGTAGACGCTATAACTTTTGTGCAAACTAATCAATATATGCTTACTGGGATATTTTTAGCTAAAATATGTAGCAGAACACATTTTGTCCTAAATTTAGGAAAAAATATGATTTTTAAATTTTTTTTTGTTGGATATGTTTTATAGTAGAAAATAGAAAATATTGTTTTTTTTCAAAATTGTTGGTCTTTTTTTGTTTATATCGCACAAAGTAAAAATCGCAGAGGTGATCAAATACCACCAAAAGAAGGCTCTATTTGTGGGGAAAAAGGACATCAATTTAATTTGGGTACAGTGTTGCATGACCGCGCAATTGTCAATTAAAGTAACGCAGCGCCGCATCGTAAAAAAATGGCCTGATTGTGAAAGGGGGTAAATCTTCCGGAGCTAACGTGGTTAAGCAAACTAAATGTCATCAGTTAGGGTCCATCTACTTTAATATAGCTATAGAACACCAATCAACTTTCCATATACAACCCATTGCCAGTGGTGACTAGTTTAGCCAAAGAGCTGCAGGGATCCTCTGTATGAATAATTCTTTTATGTGTCATGTTTTGTTTGCTGTAAAGTTTCTGTGACATCTAAAAAAAATGGTAAATCTACAAAGCAGTAAAAGCAATGTATAGTTATGTTGTAGTTATGTAATTTTTAAATATTTTTTTTCATTTCATACAAATATATTTTTGTTCATAGTCTCTTGCTAGACATAACACAATTTCATGTTCAAAATGTAATCCAGTTTTAAGTATCTTGTCATGCAAACATGCTCAGTTGCTCGCTGGGACCAACGCCAAGGATTCTCTCCCCTCTCTCCCAGATTTTTTTTTGCTTTCTAGAGACCAAGGCCTAATTTGATCAGGAATTCTGGCAAGTAGACAGAGGAAAAATGAACAATAATGTCCATTCTGTGACTGCTGAAAACTAAAAAAAACACAGCATATTTACCATGAATAAAATGACCCTTCATCCAGATCACCATGTGCAGCACAATTCCTGCACATAGAGATTATCCTCAGTATACTGTATGGCATTTTCCAATGGAAAGAAGTCTGCACAACATTTAGCCTTTGAGAATAATTGAAATGTGACTCTACATAACATACCACCAAGTCTTCATCATACCCAATCCATAAAGAACACTGAGATTGTGCAGGTGCAATAATCCATGATGACCAATAAAAATTTATCTCAGCTGACCTGACAAATGTAAACTGAAAACCTGACCTGTTGATGCTCATTTCTATTGCTCTTCATGCTTTTTATGGAGTACACCTCCAGGTTTCAGACTATGAAGGCTTATGCATGTGAGCATAAAAAATGTGTTTTGTACAGATCTGAATGCAGCAGCATAGTTTATTATGAGCCCATGCACACAGCTGTGTTGTGATCAGTAATCTTGTGCTGCTTTGAACTGCATAAATTAAAAATGAAAAATTCTGCATCTGTGGTCAGTGTTTCTACATAAATTGAAAATGGACTCTAATGCAGGCCATAGACGGGTTCGAAAACCGTCCGTTTAAAAAAAAAAAAAAAAAAATGAAAAATCGGTCGTTCAATAGGCCAACGTTACCACCACGGTAAACAAAATTGGCCGATTTTCAGCCCGTCTACAGCCGGCATTTAATTACTTCTGTCCTTGCAGAGAGCTCCACTATTATATTTGACATGAAAAAGTATTGCGGTTGCAACAATGTATCTATTTGTATCCATTTCAGATACAGATGTTTTTATTCGGATACAAATAGATACATTGTTGCAACCGCAATACTTTTTCATGTCAAATATAATAGCGGACTGGAATTCTTCTTCGTCTTCTTTTTCTTTTTCTTCTTCTTCTTCTTCTTCTTTTTCCTTCTTCTTGCAGGTCACGGCTCATACGCAGATTTTTTTATCGGTAAAACGATCGGCCGATTTGCCCATCATTGCCGTTAAAATCATCCGATCAGCAAAATCGGCCGATTTTTTTCCAACTTTACCGATTAAAAAAATGTCTCAAAACCCCCGAAAAACGGCTGACCAATTAACCCATTAACGGTGCGAAAATCGGTCGATTTTTTTTTTTCGGCCGATTTTCAACCCGTCTATGGCCTGCATAAGGCTAGCCATACGCTATACAAATGTCTTTAGAAAATTGCTTTAGATTTACAAAAAACCATATAATATAAGGTCAAACCTAAACAACACTTTCAATTGTATCCAATTAAGCAGGTCCTTGCAATACATAGTTGAAGGTAAATCTAAAGGAAATTGGGCAGAAATTGAACAGAAAATTGGCTGGCCATACACTATACAATTTTCTGTCCAATTTCTGCCAATTTCCTTTAGATTTACCTTCAACTATGGGGGCAGCACAGTGGCTAAATGGTTAGCACTTCTGCCTGGCAGTACTAGGGTTGTTGGCTCGAATCCCAGGCATGGCACCTCCTGTCTGGAGTATGCATGTTCTCCCTGTGCCTGTGTGGGTTTCCTCCGGGTACTCTGGCTTCCTTCCACACGCCAAAGACATGCTGGTAGGTTAATTGGATCCTGCCAAAATTGGCCCTTGTATATGAATGTGAGTTAGGGACCTTAGATTGTACACCCCTTAAGGGTTAGGGACTGATGTGAATGTACAACATATATGTAAAAGCGCTACGTAAATTGACGGCGCTATATAAGTACCTGAAATAAATGTAGTGCAAGAGCCTACCTAATTGGATACAATTGTAAGGGTTGGTAGGTTATGACCTCCTATTATATGGCTTTTGGTAAATCTAAACCAAAAACCAAAAATGCTTGTGACATTGTCGACCTCGTGTGGTCACATATATTCCTATTTGAAGCTCCCATATAGGTTCATTTGCATACTGCTATGGCTATGGGCAAAGTTAGTAACCCGTAGTAACCAGCCAGAATGAATTGTTCTTTTTGACTATAGAAAAATGAAATCCTATTAGTTGCTATGAGTTGGAGCTCATTTAGACTTGTGGTTGGGAGGTGTTAAAATGGTGTGGTTGAGCCATATATTTA